GTACAGTAGGCCATTTTGCACAACGAAATGCGGGAGAGGGTGGGGACCAGGCTGAACCTCCTTGCCTTCGATCACCCGGACCTGGGTCCATCCATGCTTCAGCTTGTCGTCCTCCCGCTGTTCCTTCCCAAATGAGCCCCCTCCCGTCACCTGTTGGAACACATCATACAAACACATCATAGAAGACATTAGGATTTTGGGAGGAGTACTTACCTTCTCTCCCGCTATCCGAGGCCAGAAGCACGGGGTCCTGTTGTGAGCCTCCTTCTTCGGCGGCCCGCTCCTGGGCTGGCAGGCTGCGTAGCTGTGGCCAGCAGGCAGTCAAACCCTGGCCAGTCTCTCCCGATCAGCACGGGGACAGGAAGATCCTTCATGACCCCGACTTCCACCGGCCAGGTGCCGGGAGCGGCCGAAATGGTCACCCTGCTTGCCTGTGACAGAACCCGGAGACAAAAACAAGGAAAAAAGATGAGGTGAAGGAGATCGCTTGTCGGTGAGACGTGCCGTCATACTCACCGAGTCTAACTCCATACCGAGATAAGAGATTCTCTGCACAGGGGAGAGCTTGCTCTTCTCTCGCTCACCTCTCTGACTGAGGTGCTGTAGCACGAAGTCCCTGTGATCGCACAACTCTTCTCGCTACCGGACCATGATGAGCCAGTCGTCGAGGATCCTGATGCCCACTTCCCATAGTGGGGCAAGGGCGCCCTCCGCGACTTTCGTGAAGACACGGGGGGACAGGGAGAGTCCAAAGGGGAGGACCTTGTACTGACATGCCCGACCCTCGAACGCAAACCGTAGGAATGGTCTGTGACGAGGGAGGATCGAGACATGAAAGTACGTGTCCTTCAGGTCGATCGCTGCGAACCAATCCTGGGCTTGAATGCATTTGATAACATCTTGAATGGGAGCTTGTGAAGGGCCCGATTCAAGACTCGCAGATCCAAGATAGGTTGAAGGCCACTGCTTTTCTTGGGTACTGTAACGGGGTGAAGAATCACACGACAAGTAATCTTTTAAAAGTCCATGATTTGCTCTTTGGATATATGAAGAGTCTCTCTCTACCCTCCTCTCTCTCTCTCTCTCTCTCTCTCTCTCTCTCTCTCTCTCTCTCTCTCTCTCTCAAACCTCCATTAGTTCTTACGTGCAGGACCAATGATTCCGTAAAGGTCAGGACCCCGCGCAGCAGGTCTTGGCAGGGTTTCAGAGCAGCATAATCACACATCTGCGTGCGAGAGTCCAGTGCTGCCCACTGAGTTCTCTTCTGCCGCTCCGCGACACGCTCTCATACCCAACAACTCACCGACCGCCTCTCAGACATGCAGCCCCGCTACTAACCATGCCACGGTCTTTCTCTTTTGAAAAAAATTCATTTTTATTTTGTGTGAGTGGTGTTTTTCTGTGCAAAACACACTGCCAGAATGCTGAGGTGTTAATGTAGATGTCAGGCTGCTGCCATGTGGTTGCTAAGGGGTTTGGGGTGGTTGCTAGGGTGTTCTGGGTGATTACAAGGGGGTTGCTTCTAGGCTGTTCTGGGTGATTGCTGGTGTTTGCTTGGGTGTACTGGTGGTTGCTAGGGTGTTCTGGCTCATTTCCTAGGGGGTCTCCAGGGGGGTTTTGGGTGATTGCTAGATGCTTTTTCCCAACTTACCTATGCAGTCTGAGTTGGGGTGTGCGATATTTATTGCCTTATTGTTTTTTTTTAACGATATGTGGGCTGACATTATCCAGCATGTCACTTACTTTGCACAAACAAACAAATACACATCTTGAGAGTCCAAAAGCATTCACTGCATGATGAAGTTTATTAGAATGCAGTCCCTATAGCCTAATTTAAGCAATGAAAGCAAAAAATATCTTTTTATGGATTTTTGTTTTTTATTTATAAGATATGATATAGTTAAGTATGTTTCCCTGAATATTGGTGTGTGTGTGTGTGTGTGTGTGATATTAATTATATACAACAGTTCAAAAACAAGAAGTTGTTATTGAGTGAGTTACATTTTAGACACAATATTGTGGGTTTTTTTTCTTGAAAATAGTTCCAAACAAAGCTAGTACAGAACATTTGCGCGTCTCAGAGCAACACTGCAGTCTTTAGTTCCTGAATGAATCTGTTTTTGAAGAGTCAATGATTCAATAATCCATTCATAAAGACAGCCACTTGCTTCGTTTTTAAATAATTCCGCCGTTTTGAATTAATCGTTTGAATGAACGATTCAACAAATCTCTCATTAATCACTCATTAAGACAGTGACGTGCTGCCCCCTACTGGTGGTTATGACAGGCCTAAATCAACCAAGGCACCAGCATAAAAACACACTTAGCTAAATGTTTTAATTATCCTTATAAAAAAAATCCCAAAAAAATATTTAGATATCAGGAAAAACTTTTTGTACCCCAAAGTCTGCGGTATCATGATGTCTGATTAACAAACCAGTCTTTATATTTGTTTCATTATTATTTTTTACAAAAAACAAACAAACAAACAAATAAATGAATAGATAAAGAAAGAATATTTACTGTGAAGTAAGAGAAGCTGTTAAATGCACGTGAGTAGAAATAGTTAAAAAAAGAACAATTTTTAAGAATGTAGTTCACTCCAAAATAAATAAATAAATAACATGTATTTATTATATAAATAAATAACATGTATTTATTTATTTAAGACTGTGAGATTTTAGTAATAATAATAATGCAGTCAAAAATAAATGTTAAAAACATTTATTTATTTTCTGATTTATTTATAGCTAAATAAAAAAAATTTATATATAATTTTAAGACTAAATTTTAATTTGCACAACACTTTTCCTTTTTCTTCCTTTTCCCTGTAATAAAAGCATTTACTCATTTGTTTGTTTTTGACTGCTCATACTTCTAAAAATAATCACCATAACTAAATAATTTTCTCTTCTCTCAGCCTTCCTCAACTTCCTGAGGCTTCCCATGCTGCTCCTGGAGTGCTGAAGCCCACCTTTCCCCTGCGGCCAGGCGGCAGCTCTCGGCTGTTAGTGCCTGCCAGGCCTTCTTGCCTCTTTTTGTGGCTTGCACAAAGGGGGCCGTTGCCCTCTCGCAGGCTACGTTACAGTCTGTCACATGAGGCGGACACTCTAGTCCTGCCGTGCTTTATTTGCTGTGGCACTGCAGATTACTTCCACAGTCTCTGTCTGCGCTGCACATCCAATTCAATTAGAGCCTATTAGTGCTTCCCCCGTACAGCCCCCTCTCGCTGCATCCATTCATATACCACATCTGAAGAGCACATCGCTAAGCTAAAAATGTGTTACTCTAATAAGCATTGAAATACACTCAGATGTTGAGTGACTATTTTATTAATACTTTTCGGTATTCAAAGGTTTGAAGTGTTTGAGTATACTATAACGTACTTTATTGCAATGCCTTTTGTAATGTTTGACTAGAATTTGGCCAATAACAAAGTAC